AGTGTGGGCGCGGGTCGTCCCCGGGAAGTGCGCTCGCTGCCCGCAACTAACCCTGCGGGGGTGCGGGGATCTGGGAGACGGCCGTGGTCCCGCCGCTTCTCCCTGGCACAGGGACAAAGTTTGGTACAATCGCCGCGGTGAGCTGGGGACCGCCGCTCCCAGGAGCTGGCGACTCTAAGAGGTGCAGGTGCCCAGTGCGCTTCTGAAAGCCCGGGCGCAGCGCTAAGGTCCCAGTGCTCGGAGAGCCTGAGCCGGAGGGAAGCTCCGAGAGGCTTCCCCGCCCACCGGGCCTCCTGGCCCAGCTCAGAGCCTGGAGCCCAGGGCCAGGGGCGGAGAGTGGGACATTCTGGGAGGAGGGGCAACAGCAGACACGAGAAACCCTCCTGGTGGGATGCCCATGGCCTTTCCCCAAGAAGCCCTTTTGCACTTGCTTCCCCATGAATTCCTCGGTGTTTGTATTTGTGAAACAATCTTCGAATCCTTTCCCATGCCTCTTACTGCCCTTCTGAAATTAAGCAATAGTAGTAAATTCTCCTTTCCTCAAATCTAGAACAACTACTGCAAAAATGTATATGGAAACCAAAAAAAAAAAGACCCCGAACAGCCGCAGCAATCTCGAAGCAAGTGTGAAGGTGTGAATGTGGAATTCTTTCCTGTCCTTTTCCCGGATGAAGTCTCCAGGATGGTAGCGTGGGCAGCTTTCATGCTGAAGCACAGCTCCACAGGCTGCAAATGTTATCCACCTGAAAGCTGCTTTACGTTAAGTAGGTCTCAGGGCTACGTCAAAACACGGGCTAATGAAGGGGATGAATTCACATCCAGATTCGTCTCCTGCATTTTGTTTATTAACACGTGCAAATTTGGATTCTATGTATTATTAAATTTTGAAACGCTCCCTCCCCAAGAAGTTTTTATGAACTTCTTATCTGGAACTATTTATGAACAATGGGTTAAAACTGTCTCAAACATACTTCACATTTCTGTTGTACAGTCTCGGGGAAGGTCCTTTAGACCATTCTTTAAATATGCTATCATAAGAATGCATTCTTGAAATATGCACTTAATGCCTTTAATTGTAAGAGAAGATCATATTGCTTTAAACTAAAAGAGCATTTGAGGTAGAAACTTCATGAGCGTTTGCTCTTAATGGAAAGGAGAGTCAGGGCTTTCTCATTCTTCAAGATCATATTCAACTGCTTTGATGGACAATGCGTATTCTAGCCCTAAGATGGAAAGTGATACTGACATTTTTCCCATCCCACCTATTGGCATCCAGTGTCCAGGGAAGACACTGCTAATCAATCTGGGCTCTCTCCTCCGGGCCACACCACATCGTCACTACCGTCACCACCCTCCCATATCCACAAGTGCTAGCCTGTCATTGAGGTTTTCTCCCCTTCCTAACCATTGGAACCGCCTAGGACACTTATAAATGATATAGGCACTCCTGTCCAGGTATTCTCATTCTTTCGGTCTAAGTATTTTGGGGGTTTTGTTTTTTAGGGTTTTTTTTATTTTTAATGATTTCTTTCAAAAAATGTATCTTTATTGATGAAAGTATTAGATATCCCTCTTTTTCCCCATTGACCCCCTCACCCTCCCAGGCTTTCACCACATTATGTTTGTGTCCATGGATTATGCATATATGGATTATGCATATAACTTCTTGGGTTAATTTCTTCCCAAACCCCAACCACCCACACCCCTCTGATACTGGTCAGTCTGTGCCATTTCTATAGGGTGTCCCAAAATTCACGCAAGTAATTTTGATAGAAAACACAGGTTTATAATTAAAAATTGTAAATTTTTTATTGATTCATAAAGTATACAGTATAGGGTTATGTATGGAATAGCACGTCAGGTAAATGGCCTCCACGGCTTTGCTGGCACATACGTAAAGCCATGGCCTTCATGGGTCTTCATTGTCCCTGCTCCTGGACCATAACTGGTACTTGGTAATGCTTATCAAATTGAAGGGATTGAAATCAAAGGGCAAAAGATATTAGAATCTGATTCAATAGACCAAGTAAAATTAGGCTTTTATTTGTTGTTGTTGTTAATGCTCATGCAAAATTCAAATCTTGCGTGAATTTTGGGACACCCTATATATCTCTGGACCTATTTTCTTCATCAGTTTATTTTGTCCAGTAGATTCCACCCATGAGTGAGATCAAGTGATACTTGTCTTTCTCTGACTGGCTTATTTCACTTAGCATAATAGTCTCCAGGTCCCTCCATGCTGTCTCAAAAGGAAAGAGTTCTTCTTTTTTACAGCTGCATAGTATTCCATGGTGTAAATGTACCACAGCTTTTTTATCCACTCATCTACTGATGGGAACTTGGGCTGTTTCTAGATCTTAGCTATTGTAAATTGCACTGCTATGAACATAGGGGTGCATACATTCTTTCTAATTGGTGTTTCAGGATTCTTAGGATATATTCCTAGAAGTGGGATCACTGGGTCAAATGGCAGTTCCATTTTTAATTTTTTGAGGAATTTCCATACTGTTTTCATTAGTGGGTATACCAGTCAGCATTCCCACCAGCATTGTACTAGAGTTTCTGCTACATCATCGCCAGCACTTGTTATTTGTTGATTTGTTGGTGGTGACCATTCCAGCAGGTGTGAGGCATACTTCACTGTCCTCTTAATTTGCATCTCTTTGATGATTAGTGGCTTTGAGTAGTTTTTCATATGCCTCTTGGCTATCTGTATGTCCCCTTTGGAGAAGTGTCCATTAGGTCCTTTCACCATTTTTAATTATTGTATTGTTTGTCTTCCTTTTGTTAACTCATATGAGTTCTTTATATATTTTGGACATAACCCCTCATCAGATATATCATTGGCAAATAAGCTTCCGCATACAGTGGACTCCCTTTTCATTCTGTTGATGGTTCCTTTTGCTGTGCAGAAGCTTTTTATTTTGATGTAGTCCCATTTGTTTATTTTCTCCGTTGTTTCCCTTGCCCTAGGAGATTTATCAACAAACATATGCTATGAAAGATTCTGAGATTTTGCTGCCTATGGTTTCTTCTAGGATTTTTATGGTTTCAGGGCTTACATTTAAGTCTTCTATCCATTTTCAGTTTATTCTTATGTATGGTATAAGTTGGTAGTCCAGTTTCATTTTTTTGCATATACCTACCCAATTTTCTCAACACCATTTATCTAAGAGATTGTCTTTACTCCATTGTAAGTTGTTGCCTCCTTTGTCAAATATTAATTGAATGTGATAGCTTGGGCCGATTTCTGGGTTCTCTGTTGTGCTCCATTGATCTGTCCTTGTGCCAGTACCAGGCTGCTTTGATTACAGTGTCTTTGTACTATAACTTGATTGCTGTTATTGTGATCCCTCCAACTTTGATCTTTCTCAATATTGCTGTGGGTATTCGGGGTCTTTTTTGGTTCCATATAAATTTTGGGGGTATTTGTTCTAGATCTGTGAAAGATGGCAAGTGATACTGGTTTTCACTGTTGACTTTGATCCATACCTTACACAACTTACAAAGGAGTGAAAATAATTTTAAGTGAATATGTTTAAGTAAAATGTACCAATTTAAATGAAAAATTATAAAATGTGTGAAAGACTGAAAACTAATAAACTTTGCTAACAAAAAAATAAAGATCTAAATAAATGAAGAGATATAATGTGTTCATGGTGAGAAGACTCAACATTGTTAGGAACACGATTATACCTAAGTTGATCTATAAATCACTTCAGTCTCAAAATTCCATCAGACTTTTCAGAATAAATTGTCAAACCCATTCTAAAGTTTGTGTGGAAATGCAAGGGAAGGACCTAAAATAGCCAAAACATCTTTGAAAAAGGGTAAAGTCGCAAGGCTAACAATATCTTATTTTGCAAGTAATTACAAAGTTACAGTAATAAAAACAGGGTAGTATTGGTGAAAAGACAGAAAAAATCTACCAATGTGACAGAATAGAGAGTTTAAAAATAGACAACCAATTTTAAATAAAGGTACAAAGACAATTCAGTGGTAAAAGAATAATTTTTTTCCTAACATTTTTTTCTGGAACAATTGGACATTTGTATGTAAAAAAAAAAATTGTTGACTTTGATCTATACCTTACACAACTTACAAACATTGACTCAAAATGGATCACAGACCTAAATGTAAGTCATAAAACCATATAACATAGGATAACAAGTTTGTGATCTGGGGTTATGCAAAGATTTCTTAGATACAACAATGAAAGTATGATCCTCCAAAAGAACAAATTGATAAATTATAATTTATCAGAATTAAATGCTTCTTTTCTTCAGAAGACACAGTTCATAGACTGAAGCATCATACCATTGACTGAAAGAAAAGAATTGTAATACATATACCTGATTAAGGGCCTGTATACATAATACATTAAGAAATTTTGAAACTCAAAAGAAAAAAAGAACCCAATTTTTTAAAATAAGCAAAAGATTTGAAGAAGTATGTCACCAGAAATGATATATACATAGTAAAGAAGCACAAGGTGCTGAACATCATTAGTCACTAAGGAAATGCAAGTTAAACCGTACCATGAACTACTACTACACATCCTTTAGAGTGGCTAAAATTTAAACGATTGCCCATACAAGATATCGGCAAGAATGTGGAGCAGCTAGGACTCTCACACACCCCTGCTGGAAATGTCAAGCAGTCCAACCACCTTGGAAACCAGTTGAGTGTCTTGCAAAGCTAAACATGCGCATCCCCAGTCATTCCAGAAATAAAGCAAACGTCCATACAAAGCAGCAAACTGGCGAAACCCAAACAACCATCAACAGTTAATATAAGCACACAATGGAATACCACTTGGCAACAAGCAACAGTACATGGCTGCATGCTACACATGAATAAACCTAAAAATCATTATTCTGGAAGGCAGGAGCCAGGTAAAAATGAGTGTGTACTCTATGATATCATTTAGTATATAAAATATTGGAATCTAGAGAGACAGAAAACACATCAGTGGTCCCTAGGAACAGGTTTTGGAAGGACAGTGAAAGATGTGCAGGAAGAATAAAGGATCAAAAGAAAACTTTTTTTGGAAGTGATGAATACATTCTTTAATTGTGGTAATGATTTTACTTGTATATATGTCAAAATGTATCAAATTGTGTACCTTAAATATGTGCAGATTGTTTCATGTCAAATATACCATAACTAGAGGCCCAGTGCAAGAAATTCATTCACAGGTAGGGTCCCTAGGGGCCGCCGCAGCCAGCTGGGGCCTCCCTTCGCACCCATCTTGGCCTGGCACCACCCACTCACCTGCTCCACCATCCCCCCATGGTCCCACTCTTGTCAGGGCCCATCAGGTCTGGCAGCACCCCCACTGTAGCCTGCTGCCAGTGCCGCGTTGCCAACGCCCGCCATGTTCCATGCTGCCCCCTGGTGGTCAGTGCACGTCTAATTCCCAATCGGTCCAACTCCTGCCCATAGGGACCATTTGATATTAGCCTTTTATTATCTATCCACTAGAGTCCTGATGCACAAAAATTTGTTCAAGAGTAGGCTTTCTTCCCCCGGCTGCCAGCACTGGCTTCCCTCCAGCACCCAGGACCCGGGCTTCCCTCCTCCAGGCTGCCCACAGGCACCCAGGACCCCCGCTGGCTTCCCCTGGACTGCCCTCAGGTACCTGGGATCCCAGCTGGCTTCCCCTGGGCCACTCGCAGGCACCCGGGACCCGGGCTGGCTCCCCCCCGCCCCCGGCTTCATCAGGAAGGATGTCCGGAATGACATCCAGAAGATGTCCAGTCTAATTAGCACATTACCCTTTTATTATTATAGATATAAAGCCCTAATATGCAAATAGACCGAACGGCAGAACAACTGAACAACTGGTCACTATGATGTGCACTGACCACCAGAGGGTGCACGCGGAACATGTCGGGCGTCAGTAGCAGGTGGCAGAGCTTGGAACATGGTGGGCATGGGCAGTAGGTGGCATAGCGCAGAACCTGGCAGGTGTGGGCTATGGTGGGATGGTGGAGCAGGTGAGCGGGGGCACCAGACCAAGTCAGGCGCCGGTCACTGTCACTGAGGCGAGCCTCTGGTGGTTACTGAAAATTCTTTGCTTCCATGTGCCATGGTCCCACCCTGCACTCGCACCTACTGCCGGCACCAGCCCCACTCACACCCACTGCTGGCGCCCAGCGCCAGCCCTGATTGCTCGGTGCTGTCAGCAGGTGCGAGCAGCAGCTGCTGGCCCCGATTGCCCCTCAGGGCTTCTCCACCTCCCCCTGCTTTTTTTTTGGTTCACTGTACCAACCACTCAGCACAGAAAAGGGAAAGTACAAATCAGCAATCACAAATACAGGCCTGGCTCTTGTCGTCACTAAGACCTTGGGTAAAACATTTATCCTCTCAGCTTCACTTCTTCCATAGGCAAATGAAAACATTAAGTCATCTCCAAGGAGAAGTCCAAGATTGTGGACCATTGCTTTTGCCAAACCTAATCTGAAGTTATTTCCATGGATGTTCTCAATCTCTAAAGAACCCCCTTAGTACCCCTACTAAGACTCAGTCAAAGCACCTTTCCTGCTGGAAGAATATCCTTGCTAACCTGCTGGTAAAGTGAAAGTGTGGGTACTTACTTGGCCAGAGGGCTTTGGCAGGAGGACTGGGGAGTTGGAAGGACAGGGTCTAAATTGCCTATCTGTCCATGCATAAACATATACAATTCACTCCATGGCTTCAGAATACACGTGAGCACACTTTGTATACTCCTACTCCAAGACTTCCCAGAGCCATACTATGTTTGCTAATACTGTGTTGATAGTTTTGAGGAGAAAGTTTGAACTGTTTCTCTGGGGTTCTTCAAAGGCATTGATCACCATCATGACTGAGAGGCTACAGTCTGCAGAGTAACATGAATTTCACCCCTTGGACTGCACCCCAATGGCCAGGCACCCCAAGTCGGGAAGAGAGAGGCCTCCTCAGAGCATAGCCTTTCCTGGAGTATTACTGAGGAACGATGGACATGTTTGGTGATATATATTATCAGCCAAGAAGTGTCCTCTACCAAAACCAATATTCCTGAGAATACCCTGCTGCTAGGGAGAGAGAATTCATTATGCAAGATGTGTAACTAACCACAGCATGTGCATCTTGGGAAATAGGACTCCCTTACAAGACACCACCTCTGCTCCCTTGCTCTGGGATGGCAACAAGCCAGTTGGAGAATGTACACATTGTTCCCCCACAACCAAGGGGACACCGACTGCAACAGGGAGCAGCACGTGTTCCTTTGTGGCTTTAAGAACTCTTTTCATACCCGTAGAGGACGCTTACCTAGAATCGTAAGAAACGAACAAAGCCAGGGAACAGAGAAGTGCCTATTTTTCCAATAACCATTTCTCCATGCCCTGCACATAGTAAACATTCAACACATCTTTGAAAATAAGTAAAGAATAGATGCCACAGGACTTACTTGTAAGTTGGCTGAATAGGCACTGATATCACATTACTTCTCCTTTGTATTCTGAAATTTTTGAGAAGTAATTTCCAGTTCACTTAAAATTAATCCTTTCCTGTCTTACCTCCCTAATGTTTACATAAGCTGGAGTGTGATTTCTTCTTAAGTCTGGTTTACTGTTCCCTTTGTTTTCTTTACCTTTCATATTAAATAAGGTATTTTATGACCATTTGTTCTTAAAGAAAAAGTCTTGTGAAACTCTGCTAGTAGTTATACTTTTCATGCCACTGTAACTGTATTCTAGTATTTTTTAAAATGTTTAGATCTAAGCACACATAGTTGCTTATGAGCATGATGGATTAATGTGTTAGTATACTTGCTTCTAATCTTTTTTCTGCATATAAAAAATTATGTATATAATACTTTTAACTTAATATTGTGATACATTTCCTATTTTTTTGCTTTTTGCAAACATAAGCTCTCATAGCTATATAATGTTTCATTATTTAGCCATACAATAATTACTTAATTCTTCTAGTTTAGGACATTTATAATGTTTCATTTTCTCCCTGTTTTAAAAAATAAATAAATAAATATGTGAGCTTTAAGTGGTTTCTATATTTCAAATGATCACTTTAGAATAAACTCCTATAAATAAAAGTACTTAATTAAAAGCTGTTGATATTTTTAAATATTTTGATTTATGTTAACAACTTTTCTTCCTGAAGAGAACATATGAATTTGAAGTTTAATATACAATTCATTTCATCATCTCATGTTTTCTTTCTTTTTCTTTTAAATGGCAGTGGCTTTCTCATTAGGAAATTGATGCTGCTTTCTCCTGAAATAACAGTGATAATCCAGAATTCCATTAGGAAAAGAATTCCCCCCAAGGTTTCAGTTCATAGAAAGATAATCATTATTTTGCAAATCTCTGATTGAATATAATTGGGGGGGAATTGAAGCAAAACTGGCTAACGCTCTAATCATTGTAACATACTCTGATGGTTCTCCGAGTAAATTACACAGCCTTTTGTGAACTTGCTGATTTAAACAATTCCTTATAAAGGAGTGCTGTTGACTTAAAGACTATAACAAGAAACCTTGCTGCCAATGTGGTTAATTCCGTAAGCACATGTTCAAAAGCTATGCTCTATTTCATTTACTCTAATGGACCTAAGTCTGCCGTGTAATAGGGCTCAGAACTTCTGAAACTCCTGTTTTGTTTAACTCCTGGGATATTTAAAGTAATTTATGCTTAGGGACTGAGATAAACTTTGTAGTTTGTCATACACTGAGTGGAACCCACCGTCATAAATTAACGTTTATGTTAAACATTTCCTCATAATTCAGTCCTCACACAGACAACAACAGTTTGACTCAGGGCGTATGTGAAAGCCCTTTATGTGGCTGTTAGAAATCTTAGCAGAATGAATATCACATATTAAACACTGAAGCATTTTAGTAAGAAGCTTAATGTAAAAAAATGCATCCTGGGTAAATTCATTAAAAAGAAAACACAATAGCCATTATCAATGGATTTCCCTAATAAAATATTACCATTTTAAAGGATCCTCTACATATGGACATCTCTCTCATTATTACAGCTACTTTTTAAGAGCTGGTTATTGTACATCATGCACCATGCTTGCGCTTTATTTATATTATGTCATTTAATCCTCAAAATTACTTTATGGAGGCAAATTATATTATCCTGATTTTTTATATATTTTATTGGTTTTGTTTTGTTTTGTTTTTGTTTGTTTTTTAAATATATTTTATTGATTTTTTACAGAGAGGAAAGGAGAGGGATAAAGAGCCAGAAACATCGGATGAGAGAGAAACATTGACCAGCTGCCTCCTGCACACTCCCCACTGGGGATGTGCCCCCTACCAAGGTACATGCCCTTGACTGCAATCGAACCTGGGATCCCCCAGTCCACAGGCCGATGCTCCATCCACTGAGCCAAACCAGCTAGGGCTATTGTTGTTTTTTTTTTAAAAGAGAAGAAGGGAGAGGGATAGAGAGTCAGAAACATCCATGAGAGAGAAACATCAATCAGCTGCCTCCTGCACGCCCCCTACTGGGGATGTGCCAGCAACCAAGGTACATGACCTTGACTGGAATAGAACCTGGGACCATTCAGTCTACAGGCCGACGCTCTATCCACTGAACCAAACCGGTCAGAGCTTATCCTGATTTTTTAAAATGAAAATGAAAAAGTTTCAAAGAGAAGAAGCTCTCAACGTAGTCTAATATTTCAATTCCTACACTCCTGCTTCCCCCCAGAAGCCAGGCTGGCTTCCACTACAGAGCAGGCTCAGAGGGCCCTGGCATGCAGTTGTTGAGGAGATAGTTACCCAAAAGGATGCTTATTGGCTGACTCATTAGCCACCTTAAAAATGCATCTATTCTTTCACTTAACAACAATGCCATTTTTTAAAAAGAAGGTATGAAGAAAATTAATAAAGAGAAATTAAAATTCCCATATTTTGCGTATGTTCTTTTAATTTAGTGAAGTTAAATGATGGTTTTTTTGCTGTTTTCCCTTTCTTACCATTTCCCACCATGTAACAGTAAGACAGAAATGAAGGCAAAAAAAATTTTTTTTAATATTTTTATGCTACTAGAAACTGGAAACATGTCTTCCTTTTACTCTCAAGCATACCTAAGTCAAAGCTGGTACTAAATTTTACTCCTTTCAAAGCCTGACATTTAATGCAAAGGTAGCTTTTCCCTCTCAAGGTAATTGTTGTGAGACCCTGCCATTTGGCATTAGAAACATACTTCAAGGCTTTCACAAAGTAAAAATTTACAAAAGAGAAGTTTTATATACCCATTTGGAAAGCAAAAGAGTTAACTTTTTTAAAAAGATACATTTTAATGTGTTAGTTCCTACTGTGTTTCATTGATTGAACACAAACAAGATGTGAAAATCAATTCACCAAATATCCTCAAAACCCTATGTGTTCATGAAGAATTGCCACAGCACCCAGAAAACAATTTTCTGTTCATTATTGTTATAAAGATGACGAAATTGACATTGAAAAGTATTATACATTCCTGCCTTTTTTTTTTTTTTCAGTCCTGGGCTGTGCCAGGGCCTGTCTTCTGGAGCTTTCATTAGAAGTGTCCCAATTAAAAAGCTGTGTGAGTTAAAAAAAAAAAAAAAAGTGGCTTCCATTCACAAGGATTTTAAATAAGAAGTAAATTTGGTAAATCAGTTCCTCCCTGGCTCCTAGCCATTCACATCTTTTGGTTCTGAAACCCATTTCAGTGTGAGCATAAGGTGGTTGTTATGAGGTGTTGTCAGGCCTCTCGCAGTGTTTTTGTGCATGGTGGAAGGTGGTAGTTTTTGATCAGTGTCTTCAAAGTCAAAGCTTGGAACATAATAGCTGCACATCAAAACCCAGGACCATAATGCAGTTAGCACTGACTCTTTTGGGTGGCCCCAGGGAATTACTTCATGCTCATGGTGAGCGTTCCTGTAATTAGTCATTTATAATGCTGTGGTAAGGGGAATGTGCAGACTTATAACTTGAGATTCATTATCAAAAGCGGTT